GGGAGCTTGACAGTTCACACCAGCTGGGGCTCTACTGTCGGGTTTTTACTTATGCCTGGGCACATCATGCCCTTCCGTAGGACTTCTGTCCTGGCAAGGATGTCAGGATTTTTCCACTTCATGTGTATCAGAAGATGCAGATTATCACTTATCTCTGCTTCCCTTCGCATTTCTTATTTAGATTTTTGGGATGCTTCACTGATATCTCTGACAACAGGGCAGATCGGCTGCTTTAGTCAGGAACCAGGGCAAGAAGCTTCACTCTCTGCCTTGTCTCTACCCAAATAACATCAGGAGGCAAAGATGCAAAATCCTGGCATTCGGGGAGTACAAGGCCTCCACAGTGCTAAGGCTGCAGCTGCCTGCAGCCTCATTGAAGGGTCTGAAGGCCATGCCTGATTTACCCCAAATGATCTCTAGTAAACCTGCATGAGCAAGCATGGGTCCACTGAAACACCGGCATAAGAATGCAGTAAGAGAAAGGGGCCCGAAGACAGACATCAAGCCATGGATCCAAGTGGGAGGCAATGAATATCTGGGGCTCCCTCTCTCACTGTCCCTGTACTCAGAGGTGAAGACCTGGATTTTGACTTCTGCAGCAGTTGGGAGTGCTCATATACAGTGCTTTGGCTCAGGGTGGTTGGTAAAGTAACAGATGTGCTCCTTGGTGTGCATTGGTGAGTCCACACGTCCCTACATATGCTGCACCACACCTGTGCGCATACAACTTGGTTACAGATGTACTGTCACGTCGACAAGCCCTAGTGAAGAACATGACAAAGCAACACAGCCCCTGGGTGGACCCCAGCCAGAGTCATGCCAGACAGTGCCTATGCTTACCGTCTTCAATGCTGTGATCTAGCTGCATGCTGCCAGCGCTGTGACCAAGTCCTGGCTAAGGCCAGCAATCACTGCCTTCCTCAAGAGCTGAAAGAAGCCACTGTGAGCAGGCACGTGACCTGCAGCTCTAGCAGACACTTGTGCTCAGCGAAGCAAATGCCTTTGAACCACAGAGCTTTGTTCCAGCCGATTTTGTGCTTTGTTTCTAGCAGAGCTCTGGGGGAGAGAAAAGTGCCCGACTCCCTAGCTGCGGACTACGACTCCGGACACTTCCTGGCTCTGCAACAAACTCCCAGGAACTTTGGCCCTTGAGCTCTCTGGTCCAGTACCTACGACAATGGGACAGTAATGCTCTCATGGGTTGTCCGTCCATCCTACATAGGCTGCAAACAGTTGTCTCATTTCAAGCTGCCCTGATTGTCCCAGGTTTTACCTTTGATCCAAACAGGAGTGGCACAGCCCTGCTCAGCTGCATTGCTGCTTGTCAGCAGGTAGGTGGCAAGGGAGAGCACACATCTGCCAAGCTTGTCCCTGGAATGAACAACAATTAAGTTAAATGAGCTACAATTAACTCACAGACCCCCACATAGCAGGGGGAGCGTTAGCACATATTATCGGGCATATTTCACAGGTCCTTGAAGCAGAATGGGTGTGAAGGTCTGGAGGATCCCAGGACAAAAGGCATTTCCCAGGAGAAGTGCAGTGCCTGTTGACAGCAGGGGAGTATAGATTCCTTGGGACAGGGACCATCTCTTTCTATATGCACAGTGTCTAGTACAAGGGGTCCTGACCTCCACTGGGGTCAGCTAGAGTAATATGAAGATACAGTGGAGGAAATAGTGAGCCCAGATCTGATGCTAGAGAAAGGCTGGAACTGGGATACTGTGAAGGGAAGCAAGGTGGCAGTTCTGCAGTCCATCCTAAAGCAAGACAATGCAGCCCAAATCCTCTTTACCCTGTGCCAGTGATTCTCAACCAAGGTCCCACAGCATCCTGGAGTGCCTTCAAGGGTGCTGTAGGGTGTCACACAATGTGAGCACTGGTAGGTTTGCAAACATGACTTACAAATAACCCCAGAGATTTCAGAGAGAAATCCGTAGTTTTAGTCTTTCTGAATTCTCTGCAGTAGAAAAGCTGCTGTACAATTTTTCCGTAGGCAAAAAAAAGAGTGAAAACTAAGAGCTGTCATTTTTCAAGGGGTGTCTTGAGTCTCTTTAGGGATGTGTCGAGCCTAAAAAGGTTGAGAACTGCTGCCCTCTGCACAGTGACCTCAGTGCACTTATGTTTGGCATCTACTCTGGCTGAAGGCAATGGCAAAACTCAAGGGCTGTGTCCAGATAAGCAATGCTGTGTGATATGTGCACACACTGCACATTCAGGTGTGTAATAAGTGCACACACTGCACATTCAGGTGTTCCCTGTGCTGCATGGTAGCAGTGTTTGGGTGGAGGGGGTTGATCCTGAGAGATCACCTCTGAGGTCCTGGGGACCTGCAAAGGCTGCTGGGGCCAGCACAGTCCCCTACCCCACCCGGGGTAACCTGCCGCACCCCAGAGGACATGTGGCACAGATGTTCCCCAGGGACAAGTAGCAGTGGCTCAAGGTTTCATAGTTTGATAGTTGGTAGGGTCGGAAGGGACCTGAGCAGATCATCAAGCCCGTGAGCAGATCATCAAGGTGTGCTGCTGCTTCTTGCCCCCAGGAAAGCAAACGCCCATGGCTAGTGTAGACGCAGCTCAGAGGCTGAAGCAGCAGCCCCTCATTGAGAACTTTCCCTCCGTCGGGATGAAAGATCAAGCACGGCTGGTCTAGAGCCTCTACAAGCAACGTGCACCTTTGATGCAGAATAGAAAGTCTCAAGTATATTAAAACGAGGTGTCTCTGCACCGAGTCAAGTATATTTAAAACACTGAGAATTATTATTCAGAACAAAGCACACTGTACTCCAATTATTACATTGCTAATAGTAAGATCCCGAGTATTGTTCTCGATATATAGGTAGCGTGGGAGGCTCCAGAGTTCACAAACACTATGCAGTCTTTTAAATTAAGGCGCTGTGATATTTTTCCTGGTTTCTTTTAGAGGATAAAATGTCAGAAGGTACTTTAAAAAGAGAAGTACATTAAAATGAAGGGAACCGAATGATTAGTGTTTTCATTAAATACAAGGACATCCTCACCCATACACATATCATTTCAAACTGTGACTCATTTAAATCATCTTACAGAGCTATTTTTGTAACAGATACGTCCTGAAGCATATAGCAATCTATTGGAAAGACAAACTAGCCTAGTGCTGGGAAGTTTAAGAGATGTAAAAACTTGTGTAATTCAAAGTATGATACTTGTTCATACAATATGGATGTCAGCTTTATGGCTGGAATAATACAGCTATGCAGCAAAGGTAATAAATAACCATTGAAATGGTTCAACACTGAATTACTATGCAACTGTCTCCTTATTCAGAAGCTTTAAGAAAGTGTGTGCACATATCTGTATATTTTTAAGACATGTTCCTCCTCCTCCTCTTTCTTTGCATCTCTCAACATGAAGCTGCAGGAAATGAAAAGGCTGTAGGAGGCCTTAATCTTAGTGTGAGTATATGACAGCCTTGTGTGGCCTTTCCAACTTGCATCTCCCCCTCAGTCCATTATACATTTCCCATCCTAGCATTTTGCTGCTCACTTCACTGGAGCAAAACTGAAAACAGATGCTGTAGAGATGGTGCTGTCAGCTACCCTTTTGCGGTCAGTCTTTATGGCCTGGATGGACCATGCATGAGATGGCAAATGCCACCATCAGCCAAGTCCAGCTCTTCAGGTGATAGAAGTCTCCCTGAAGGTGCTCCAAGAGATGCTGAGCCTCCTCTTGACTCCATTCAGCTCTGGGAAAGCAGATGGACAACAGGGGAGGTCTCATTCATCCTGAGAAAGCAGGGCAATCAGCTGGTCACCTTAGGTGTCTGTACACAAATGCACGGAGGATGGGAAACTAGCAGGAAGAACTGGAAGTCTTCACACAGTCAATGAACTATGACACGATTGGAGTAACAGAGATGTGGTGGGAGCTTGCATGACTGGAGCACTGTCGTGGCTGGGGGCAAACGGTTCAGGAAGGATGGGCCGGGGAGGACAAGTTGTACTTTATGTAAACGAGCCATTTGACTGCTCAGAGCTCCAGTATAAAACTGGAGACAGGCCTGTTGAACGTCTCTGAATTAAGGTCAGAGTAGAGAGCAACAAGGGTGGTGTTGTGGTGGGGGTCTGCTGTAGACCACCAGACCAGGAGGAAGTGGTGGATGAGGCTTTCTTCAATCAGCTAGCAGAAGTTTTCAGATCACAAGTCCTGGTTCCCATGGGGGACTCCAATCACTCTGACATCTGCTGGGAGGGCAATACAGCAGTGCACTGGCAAGCCAGGAAGTTTTTGGAGAGTTGTGAACAACTTCTGGGTGCAAGCGTTGAAGAGGCGAACAAGGGCCGTGCACTTCTTGACCTGCTGTTCACAAAGAGGGAAGAAATGGTGGGGAACGGAGTAGTGAATGGCAACTCGGGCAGCAGCAACCACGAGATGATTGAGTTTAGGATCCTGAGGAAAGGAAGGATGGAGAGCAACAGAGTAAGGACCTGGGACTTCAGAAAAGCAGACTTTGACTCGCTCAGGGAAATCGTGGGCAGGATCCCCTGGGAAGCCAGTCTGAGGGGGAGAGGAGTCCAGGAGAGCTGGCTGTACTTTAAAGAAACCTTACTGAGGGCACAGGAACATTAAACCATCCCAATGTGCAGGAAGAGGGAAGTGATTATTCCCCTCTATTCAGCACTGGTGAGGCCACATCTGGAGTGCTGTGTCCAGTTCTGGGCCCCCCGTTACAGAAAGGGTGTGGGGGCAAGTTGGACAGAGTCCAGCAAAGGGCAGTGAAAATGGCACAGGGGCCAGGGGACATGATTTATGAGGAGAGGCTATGGGAACTGGGTTTATTTAGTTTGGAGTAGAGAAGACTGAGAGGGGATTTAATAGCAGCCTTTACCAGAAGGGAGGTCCAAAGAGGATGGAGCTGGACTGTTCTCAGTT